AAAAATCGAGTCGAATGGACTAAAAATATGGCGTCGGAGGCTGCCGGAACAGCCGCCACGCGCCGCCACTTGCCGAAGCCGCGAGTGGGCTTGCTCCGGTTACTGTTCATCGTCTTCAAAAAGAAATCCTGCAACTTCCCCTGTTTTCCAGATTTAATCCCAGATTTTGTGAGCCATTTTGACCAACCAAACGTCAACCAAAATGGGAAAACTTATAATGGTTTTAAATCTTAATACCTCTAGTTTCTAATCCAACAAACCACACTGAAAACGGAGTTAAAACGAAGGAGAAAACTAGCTCCAAAGTTGGGCTCGTGGCTAGTTTTTCTGCAGAAAACAAATTTTTTTCCAAACTTTGTACAAGTGTTCAACCTATCAAAACTCAGCCAAATTCGATGAAACCAATTGTGTTTTGTTCCTTGATAAGTCCAGTTTAAAACCCAATAAATTTCTTCCTCAAAACCTCAAAGGATTAGGAGAAAAATAGAGCCAAAGTGAGGCTTTCGGACAGCAAATTTCCAGAAAAATGCAAATTTCCAGATTTTGTTCAAAGTTGTTTTCAACCATTCTAACACCCCAAGTGGTTCCTAAGGCTTCTAAAACTCTTTTAAACTTCATACCTATCATTAGAACTCAGCAAAAACTCAAAATACAACCAAAATCAATAACACCCACACTTGAAAAGTTACTCTATCCACCCAACCCGAAAATAGAGATTCAACATCTTCCAATTCAATCTTCCTAACACTCATATGACTCAAACTATTCCTTAAGAGATTAAAATCACACAACCACAAGGTTAAAACCAAAATTTTCGAAATTGACTCACCTTAGAACTCTTTTCTTCTCTTCCTTCTATTTTCTCCTTTCTTCCTCACCCAAATTTCATCCAACTCTTATCTTAGTTCATGCAATTATTTTCCTTACCCTAGACTAGGTGACTCACCTATCCTAGGTTTACAACTCATCCAAATTGAGATCAAAACCAGATTTTTTGAAGGGATTGCATGAGGGAAGGGGGAAGGAATGAAGGAGGGAAGAAGGCTTGGCTTACACGTTGCCTCTTTTTTTTCTTTTTTTTTTTGTTTTGTGGTTATTATCTACAAGGGTATTTTGGTAATCTATCATACATAGGGGTGTTTTTTGGTCATTTTTGTCCAACTTCAAATTAAACATACTTAATTTAATAATCTCAATCCAAAATCTTTTGATACCCATAATCATTCTCCACAATTATATTATTTTTCACTAAAATATAAAAATTCACCTTAAATTTTTCGGGGTATTACACCCTCATTGGGGATGGCCTTAGAATGAGAAAGGCAGTGTCCCAAGTTGGGTAAAGCATCTGCTGTAAAATTAGCCTATCTGTGGATATGATGGAATTAGACCTTGTCACAGAAATAACTCAAATGCAAAATGTCTTGGATGAGTAGCCGTATGCGCCAAGGGACGC